AAAAAGCTTATAGAATATATGGTAATTTCAGGCAATTATCTAATATTTCTGTGTACTAAAATTGTGAATAAAATGGTCTATTAATCAATATCATAAATTATTATTATTATATTTATATATTTTATATTTTAGAATCATTAAAATAGTTTAAATATTAAATACTATTAAATATATAAATCAATATTATAAATTATTATTATTATTATATTTATATATATATTTAATGTTAAAAAATAAATAATAAAATCCAATAGTTGTACTTCTAAAGAACAGAATACTTTAAATATTTTCTCATAGCATTTCAAGGCCCATATAAAAATCGAATGCACTTTTACTATTTTCTGTGAACATCGAATGTTATCTCTCTCCTGCGCAAAGCTTTATTTTGTATTAATATTGGAATAGGAATAGAGGTATACTATATTCTATTCTTCATAAGGATATATCAAGAAATATTGGAATTTTTTTTGTGTTTAGCTGTCTTTACATTTTAATAGAAATTAAATATTTCTCAAACATTAAGATTTATGCTGAAGAAAAATGTTATTTTTATTAATACAAAGTCAGTATATCCGATAGAGGGAACTATTACTACTCCACAGAATATATGCAGATATCATTCAGATATCGTTCAGATTTTATTGTTGTTGTGCGGTTCGACTTGTTGACTTGCCAATTTTCTGTCTTTTATTGTGGAAATGGCAGTGGAAGTGGGAAGTGGGAAGTGTTTGTTGCCGGGCACGGGGCTGCTCCTCTGGGCTGGCTGGCTGGCTGACTGCTGCCTTTTTTGCCATTGTCCATTGTTGCTGTTGCGTTTTTATTTCTTTTATTATGTACGAATGTTTGTTTGTGTAATGCTCTCCCGCCCATTGTTGTGTGTGTGTGTGTGTGTGTGTTTTCTGTATGAATGTGTGAGTGAGTGGTTTTTTTGTGTATGAACAATTAAAACTCTTTACAATGACCTTGACTTTGTTTTTTGTATGGCTATATAGAGCTATGTGGCTATGGCTATGGCTCTCTATGGCAATGGGTGTACTCTATGTGAATGTATGTGAGTGTATTCGTGAGTGAGTGAGTGAGCTTCCTTTTCATTCACACGCGCCCAGCACGCTCAAACGTCAAACACAAAAATACTACACAGCAGTGCCTGGCCTGGCCTGGCCTGGCCCAACAACAAAGCCGTCTGAGTGTGTCTACTCGTCTCTGAGTCTGAGTCTGAATCTGAATCCCCGAGTCTGAGTCTGAGTCTCGAGTCTGCTGCTGCTTCAGCTTCAGCTTCGGCGTCTGGTTCAGTTTTTCGGTTCAGATTTTTGTTTTGGTTTATTTCTTTTTTTTCCCATTTTCAAATGAATGGCGAATGGCTTTGCTGAAGAGCAACAGTCAGTCAGTCAGGGCGCCCCTGCCTCCCCGACCCTTGAAAATTCCATTATAATACAGAAAAAAAACATCAACAACAATAAAAACAGGAACAAGTACATTGATAATGAAACAAGAATTGTATTTTTATTTTGTGTGTGTGTTTGTATTTGGCATTATATTATTGTATGCACAATGCCATCGGCATCGACTTTTCTTTGGCCAACTTTTTGCGGTTAAGATTTGCGTTCTTCTATTGTTGTTGTTGCTGCTTGTTGCTTGCCCAATTTTTTTGTTATAGGTCAGTTTTTGGGGCAGGTTTTTGCATTGTTTGATGATCTGGCTTCTGGCTGTATATTTTGGTTCCTTGTGTGTGTTTTTGTTTCATTGTCAAATGATTTGCAATTGCCCATAAATTCATTAAGCAGATATCGACTTGTTCTGCTTTATTGTATACACGCAAATATGTATGTACATAATATACACAGACATTTTTATGGGTTAGTAGCTCGCATCAAGTGTGCGAGATGACGATGCAGGAAACGAGAAATCGATTCGTGCATAATTTTGTAAAGGCAAATAATGAGAGGGGCGCCTTAATTTTATAAGAAAGAAATCAACTTAACTTTTCTTTTTGATTCTTAAAATATATGTTACCGTTCAACTTTTAAAAGAAAATCAAGAATACTTCTTTTTTTTTATTAAAAAAATCATAAATAACTATTTTTTGTAATTTTATAAATATAAATTAAAAATAACCTGTACTTCTAGTTTGTATTGAACAAATTTGAAATAAGTGTTACTTGTAACTTTTATATAATAAATTTGGAAATAATTCTTAGATTGCAATTTTTATTTTTAAACTTATAATAGTGACGGTCCCTAATACAAACAAAGGAAAAAATCTTGGGCATTTTAATATTTGATTTTTGATTCAAAATTATATTGAAAAAGATTTTCTGCGAGAGTCAAAATATTAAAAACGAAATTAGCTTTGATTACATTTTGATATAAATTTGAAAATATGCATATAATTTATATTTAAATAAATTATATTTGAATTTAAAATAAATATTTGAATCTTACAAGTAAATATATTTAATATTTAAATCAATATTAAATGTTAAAACCAATGTAATGCTTTTAATTTCACTGTTTTTGTATTTAAAAACTGAATTTTACATTTATTTATAGTTCATTTATAATTAAATTTATTGACATATTTCTCTGAGTGTATCTAAGCCAATTTCTTGCTAAAATTTGCATTTAAATTCGGTTTCAATGTGACATTCTTTTGGGTTGACTCTTTAAGCTCCTTTTTCCGTTGCCCTTCAAGTGAAATGAGCAATCAAACCCCCCTAGCCATATCGATGGCTGTGCTCTAGTTTGTATTGTGATTTAAAAAACCTTTAAAGAGCAGTGAGTAGTGCGGGGATAAACCTGTGTAAACACCAGCACAGGAATCCAATCACTTTGCGCTAATGAAAACTGAAACAAAAAAGAAACCAAAAGTTACTCATGAGCCCCCAACCAAAAGGTGGGTGGTGGTGTAGGGGGGAGAAACAGCAGCAGAGGGCAGGGTCTAGTACCCAGAATATATGCATTAATCGACGAGCAGAAGGAAGGTTGAATGAAAACACCTGTGGACGAGAGCGGAAGGGGTGTGCGGCGGGTGGATGGCTTAAGACAATGGCAAGAAGTTTTTTTTGCTCATGTGATAGATATGCGAGAGGATGCCAGACCGCATCAAAGTTTTAACACACACACACACACACACACACAGAGACACAGCAAACACACGCGTGGAATAGTAATAGCATCCGTGAGATACATGCCAAGAGATACATAGATACATTTGTAGCTGGTGTAGTAGCTGCTGCAATGCACTTGGATGGCAGAGCACTCGCTTAATAAATTTTCTTTTTTTTTCGTACCATTCGCCTGCTGCCTATACAATTATTTAGCTGCTACCTTGACGAAAACCCATTAGGTTAATAAGAAGGAACTACTGCAGAAGATCTGGAGAAAGAATGCAAAAAAAAAACACATACATACATATGTACATATGTATTTATATGTACATATAAATACATGTATAGACAGGCCAAAAAAAAGGAAAAAAAAAGCAAAGGCCCCAAAAAAAAAGAAGGAAAAAAATATAAGGAAAAACTATGCGCGTGAGACGCGCTCTAACGGCAAATACGCCGCAAACACTGCGGCCCGGGGGCAACCAAACCCATGCTACACGGCGCGGCACGGTACGGTACGGGACTTCTGTCGGCCATATTTAAAGCTAAAATTTATATGAGCACTTCGTATGTGCGGGAGGGAGGGGTGCGGTGCGGTGCGGTGCGGGCGGCTATAGCGAAATTCCTCTAGAGTTTGAAGCGAGCGGGTGAAATGCGGCAACGTCGCTTGCCATAAAGCCGCAGCTACGACGACATTTTTATGGCAACACACGGCCTGAGTTCAGAGCACACGGCAGCAGGCAGCAGGCGGCAGGCCACAGCCACAGCTGAAGGCGCAACACGGATCGATATAGAGCTGTGGAGAGCGAGATGGCATTAGCTATGGCTGTGCCACTCGCACGCCCCGTTGATTGGTTTGGCTGGCTGCGCAAAATCCAACCCAGGGGCATACAGCTGCAGCCCCGCACACACACACAGATACACAGATACACACAGGCAGATACGGTGAGTCCGTGAGTCCGAGAGCCGAGAGCCGAGAGAGAGACGGAGAAGAAATGCGTTTATTTGATTTATTAGCATGGGGCGAACGAGTCGGTCGGTCGGCGCTATGGTTGTCTCGCTTTGGCTGCCGTTGCGGCAGGCCTGTCTACGGTTAACTGGTTTGCACATGCCGACACACACGAGCACACAGATACACGCACACAGATGCACACAGAGACTGGTTTTTAGCCAGCCAGCCACCCTGTCTCGACGGCAGGCCCAGGCCAGGCCGCTTGCTCGAGCCACCAGCGACATTCAGTCTCTCATTCGACTCTCGTATTCGCTGTCGTCAGCACACGCGCGCGCACGCAACGCAACAAATACGGCAACAAAACACGACACCACGAGAGACACAGTACGATACGTTAGTACGATACGATACGATACGATACGATATACACGATACACGATAGTACACGGAAGGCAAGCAGGCAGGCAGACAGGCAGACAGGCAGCCCAGGCAATAGTATCTATAGCACTGTGAGGCCCGCTTCGTTTCGGTTTCTCGTTTCGTTTCGTTTCGTTTCGGCTCGTTACCGCCTCCTCGTCGGCCCGGCCCGGCCCGGCCAGCAGCAGTTGTTCGTGCCTCGTCATCTCAGCAACATTATTCAGGCCCGAAAAAATACGAAAAATAATATACACAAGCAAAAGTAAAAAAAAAAAAAGAAGAAGTAAAAGAGTGTGGCCCGAAATCAACGTAGAACGCACCTCGAACAGGTTTCGCCGCCGTCCACAGTTGACGGAGAAACAGAAAGGTGCTCAATTCCGCATAGTGTGGAGGTATTTCTATCCCGGAGGTGTTACCCGCAAAAAATACACAAAATACAAAATACAATAAAAACCAAAACCAAAACCAAAATATAACAACAATCCGAAAGCTGCAACTACAACAATTTTGAGGGCGGCACACGGCACACGGCACACACACATTCCGTACCGCGACGGTTTTTTATTAAACAAATTTCAAGTGTTTTTTATTCGCAAAACCAAATAGAAAAAAAAAAAAAAAATAGAAGAAATTTGTGACTGTGGAAACGAAAACAACAAAAGAAAAGAAAATAAAACGCCATTCGAAAACTCCAAAGAGCAAAAGTGTCGGCTGCCAAAAAAGAGAAATAAAGCAAAGAAATTATCTTAGAAAATACACACAAAAATCTATTATGCAAAAAACACTTCAGAAATAGATACTAAAAATCAAAAATAAAAAATTAAACAAAAATACTTAGAGTAACAAGTGCAACATGGTTTCCAAGAAAATGTTCAAAAAATCCTAAAAACTAAAACGTATCTGCTGGATATCTACAGAAGAGAAACGAAAAGCAGCTGAGTAGAAAAAAAGAAACGTATCCAAAACAAAAGTATCTACAACTAGGACCAAAAGAGACTCAAACTAAAAAGATACTAAAGATAATACCATACGCGCAGACAACATGCTGACCATGGAATCGGATATGAAGGGCAGCCTGCTGCATGCCACAATGCCGCCGCATCACACCAGTGCCGCGCTGCACGGCCATGCCGCCTCGCCCTACTCGGCGCTGGCGCCACTTATGAATCTCGGCCAGTCGCATCTCACCCACTCGCAGCTGAGCCACCATAACCATCATCACCATCATCACATGAGCGCCCATATTGCGGCCAGCCAGAGCCCCAATCCGCTCAGCTCGCTGCAGACCAGCATGGCCAATACCCTGAACGGTACCCAGGTGGGGCAGCAGCAGCAGCAACAGCAGCAGCAAAGCTCGCCGCTGCACAGCTCCAGCGAACTGAGTCCCACCCAAAGCAGCATTGGTAGCCATCACATGACCTCGCCCGTGAGCCACCAGCAGCAACAGCAGCATTCCCAGCAGCAGCAGCAGCCGCATCCCACGCACATGGCCGCCGGATCCGCTTTGAGCAGCATGACCGGTGGCGGTGGCAACAGCAGCAACAACAACAACAACAACAGCGCCACGGCCAACAAGAATCAGGCGCACGCGGATCGCGTGAAGCGGCCAATGAATGCGTTTATGGTGTGGTCCCGCGGCCAGCGCCGGAAGATGGCCTCCGACAATCCAAAGATGCACAATTCGGAGATCTCGAAGCGGCTGGGCGCCCAGTGGAAGGACCTGTCCGAGGCCGAGAAGCGGCCGTTCATCGACGAGGCGAAGCGCCTGCGAGCGGTGCACATGAAGGAGCATCCGGACTACAAGTACCGGCCACGTCGCAAGACCAAAACCCTCACCAAGACCAAGGAGAAGTACCCGATGGGCGGCCTGATGCCCGGCCAGACGGTGGGTGGACCCGGCGGTGTGGCCGGCGATCCCGTCACGCCCACCCGCGTCCAAAGTCAATCGCAGAACCAGTCCGGCGCATCGGCGGCAGCCGCAGCGGCGGCGGCGGCAACCGCACAACAGGCACGCCAGGATATGTACCAGATGAATGCGCCCAATGGGTACATGCCCAACGGCTACATGATGCACGCAGATCCCGCCGGAGCGGCCGCCTACCAGAACTCGTACATGGGCCAGCACTACGCGCAGCGCTACGACATGGGCCACATGTACAACAACGGGTATGCGATGTACGGCACGGTGTCCGGGGGCCAGACCTCGCCGTATGGCGGCAGCCTCCAGCAGCCCGGCTCGCCGTCGCCCTACGGTTCGAGCAGCCACCAACAGCAACCCGCCTCGCCCCAGCCCTACGGCGGTGGAGGAGGCGGCGGCGGTCAGGTGTCCTCCTGCCAGAGCCACAGTCCCAGCGATTCGAGCATCAAATCGGAGCCGGTGTCCCCCAGTCCCAGTGCCATAGCGCTCAACAACAACAATAACAACAACAACAATCACATCATGAAGCGGGAGTATGTGTCCGCCACATCAGCGGCGGCAGCAGCCGCAGCAGCAGCAGCGGCAGCCGGTGCCGGTGGCGAGCTGAATCATCTGATGAACATGTACCATCTGCCGGACGAGCAGCGCCACTTGCTGCACTACCAGACTGACTCGCCGGATCTGCAGCAGCAGCACGCGGCGATGCACCAGCACCAGGTACATCAGGTGCACCAACAGGTCCAGCAACAACACCAGCAACAGCAGCAGCAGCAGCAGCAGCAGCAGCAGCAGCAGCAGCAACAGCAACAACAGCACCTGCATCAGCAATCCCTGCGAGCGATGGCGCCGCTGGCACATATGTGAGAAATGGCCAGCGCCTATGGAGCAGCAGCCTCAACTGTGAGCGTTTCGCCGCCACCGCTGCCGCTGCCGCTGCCCCTGCCGCTGTCGAGTGTCTATATGCCGTCGGCGGCACAACAGCAGCAACAGCAACAGCAGCAGCAGCAACAGCAGCAGCATCAACAGTTGCTGAACGGACGGCCCAGTCCCACTGCGTCCGGTTCTGGGTCGTCGGGTGGCCGCTCCTCGGCGCATTCCAGTGGCCATGCGGCCGCGCATTCACCCGCCTTGGCGGCCGCTGCCATTGCTGCCGCCGCCTATCAGCTATCCTCTGCCTCTGTCTCCGCCTCTGCCTCTGGTTCTGGCTCCTCCGTTTCCATAACCGGATCGGGTTCGGGTTCGGGATCCTCCTCCTCCACCACCTCCTCGTCGGCAGCTGCCGCAGTGGCTGCTTCTGTGGCGGCGGCCGTAGCTGGTACCTCTGCTTCTCATATTTTCACGGCCGCCAGCATGCTGGACATGCACCAACAGCAGCAACATCTGGAGGAGCAGCAGCACCATCATCAGCATCTCCACTACCAGCAGCAGCAGCAACAGCAACAGCAACAGCAGCAACAACATCAGCAGCAGCAGCATTATCAGCAGCAGCAGCAGCAGCATCAGCTCTACCATCACTATCATCATCCTGGCCATGAGGCGGCGGCAGTTGTTGCCAGTGCCGCTGGGCTCCTGGATATCTCCACATTGTAAATTATTGAAAATATTAACTAAAACACACACACACACACAGACACATACACATACACATTTTAGCTTTAGTTTTAAGGAGACAATTCCAAGGAAATATATAAATAAATGATTAGAATTTAAAGTATAGTAATTTAAATGAAGCATACGCACTGTTGTACCCCCCCACAATAGTAAGATGACATTCCACACGGCATTCCATTCCATACCCTTTCCTTTCCTTTAATTTTTTGTTCCTTCTTTTCCCCCTCCCGACCCACGACAATTGTGTGATACAAATAAATTGTTGCAAATTATCCCCAAAAAAGCTGCAGAAAATCTTTCCCACAACATTTTTTTCATTTAGAATTTTTCCTTTCTTTCTGTACAAAAAGCAAACAACATTCTTAGAGAACATTAAATGTGTGCGTCTCAGAACGGAATAGAAGTAAATCAACAGCAGCAGAACATTAATAAAACTAAAAAGAAAAGCAAAGAAAAAAAACCTATAAACAAAACAACAACAAACAGAAACAAACACAAACAAACAAAAAAAAGAGGAAAATGAAAATATTTCAATAAAAAATAATGTCGGAAAAAAAGAACATTCTATTTTATAAATTCTCTTATGCATTAAGTAATTATAATTATTATCTATTATATAAACAATTTAATTATTAATTATGCTTACAAGAAAATACAAGACACGAGACAAACATAATTATAATTGTAATAAAACCAACAAACAAAATTATTATTATTATTAAACAAAACGAAATGAAATGAAAAATGAAAATGAAGGCAAGAAATCTACTGTTAGAACACCTAAAGAAAAATTTAGTAAAAGGAAAAACCCAAGAATGTGAAACATGGAGCTAGGCAACAACAAGACCCAGAGACAACAAATTAAACAACAAAAAAAAAAAAACGGACAACAAACAAACATTGCCAAGCACCTGGAAATAATAACAAACAACAACAAAAAAAAACCCAAGAAAAAAATTCACAAAAAAACAAATAAAAGAAAAATCTTTACAAAAATTGAAAACAAATTTATTTATTCCTTTTATTCTTTATTTATGATTTCGGTCTTTGGCCTGAAAGCCGACGGCAAACTCTGATATGTCGAACATAAATGTTGCACACATAATGTCGATATGCAAGTTGAAATGCTTCGGTTTAGGTTTCGATTTCGGTTTCGGATGGTTTTTATAATCCAGTTTTGAGTTTTTTATGGCGTTGCGTCAGATGCGGAATTCTCTAGACAATGGCTGGTGTTTCGAGTAATAAAATTCACGCATTGTCAGAATAAATGTATAAAGTTTAATGGAAGCGTTTAATTTAGCGCAAGCCTTGGCAAATTAGAACGAAATACCTGAAAGAGTATACGCCTGAGAAAAATGCACTCCCTCTCCAATGCCAGCTATTAGCTATTATTTACAATGTAGTATATGATATCGTTGTCATGTCAACTGCAGGCCTCTAATCTGCTCGTAACTACACCTGACATTTCAATATTTATTTAAGTGCATTTTGTCAATGATTAGCTGTGGGTTTTTTTTCTTTTGCGTGACCGGAAGCGGTAGCTTTGTAGGCGACACCGCACCGCCGCCCGATGCTAATTCCTATAATCACACTGCAGTGCGCTCTCGGAGCAAGGTTAGAGCACAATTACACAAGGGATACAAACTATTTGGAGATTGTCCAATCACTCGACCCTCAGCACTCAGCACTCAGCCCTCTGCCTATAGCAAGCCCATAGCCATCCATAATATCCACTTAATATGGCTAATTTATGCTGGCCCAAAACACAACTCACATCTGGGCCGTCCCACACACACACACAGTGCTCGTAAAAAATTATGATATGTATTATTAATGAAAATTGCAAATTCAGAGCGGCACGGGCTGGGGCATGGGTCCAAAAAAAACATAATTTTGTCTAAAAAACAATTTATTTATTATGTGCAAATATTATACACGCTTTACTACAGTTTTTTTTTTTCGTTGCCATTCGGTGTCATTTGACCGATGCTATTTGCAGATTATTATAATTTCTGTAAATGATTTAGCTCAAAAAAACGAAAGCTCGCGCGGAATTTCAATTAAAATATTTCCCATTTTTTTTCCACCTCTTTTTCCGGCAAATATTTCATTTCATTTGAGTCTTTTTTTCCACCCATTTTCTCTACTTTATTTTTGGGATTTGCAATCAATTAGTGGATACAATTTTTAATTATAAAATTTACCATCTAAATTATTTTTTGCTGGGACTGCTCTAAACCTTTTTGCCCCTGCCATTGATTACAATCTTTTATTGGATTTTTCTTCAGTTAAAAAGGGTATTATGTTTTAGCGATGATGCTTGGGTAGACAGTGGTGGAATCATTTATTCAAAGACATGTGTATCTATTTATTGGTCAGTTTTTCAACTAAAAAAAATATTTATTCAGCTACAAAGAGACGTAAGATACCTAACACATATCAAAATCGTATCACTTTATCATCAAACTCTCACTGGTTCGATCTGTTAGTGTATCTAACGCTTCGGCACCCAATATTTCGTGTGTTTTTTTGTAGCTGTGTGCTGCTGTGCTTTTAAATTCTCATCTCATTTGTCTATGCACAAAATAGTTTGGATACATAAAATTTGAGTCAAAACGAGACACGATTTGCATTTGTTGCAGATATCTACTTATGTATTTTTGTTGGCTGGCTTATCTTTGATTTTGAGTTGAGGCCTGTTTCAGTCCGTGTTGAAATGCGAGATTGTCAAGAGATACATGCATAATTTGGACGCACACACAAATGCAAACGCAGATATTTATTAATGCCATATGGGTGTCATTTTGAACCGCATTGGCACTGTGTAGCAGCAGATACAAATCTACCTCAGCTCCTAAGACTCCGTTTCACATGCAAATTGATGGAGAAAGACTGCGACGCGATGCGACAGATATTTGATGTGGATTTATGTACATACATATATGTATATATCTGTATATATCTGTATATATCTTTCGTTCTGCTGACACCCAGCTGTGTTTGCTTAGCTTCTAATTAGCTTAAAAAATTGTTTTGGTTCTCTGGTTGTTTTAATTTCCATTTTTTTCTAACTACTCTGGCAATTTGTTGCAATCAGCGTGAAAATTAAATCGAAAACCCAATGACAACATCGTTTATATCGTTTGGCCATTATAATTAAGAGCTAATCACGCGTTTAACAAGATTTTTTGGTTTTTGTTTGTTCGCTTGCTGGTGACATTTCTGGCTTGGATTTGTTGATGATTTTTTTTTTGTATTTTATTTTTGGGTTGCCTGCTGCAAGCTGAGTCACACAGCACAGCCGTTTGGATCGTGAGAGTTTTTTCTGTGTGTGGCTTTGTTTTGTGGTTTTATTTTTTATTTATTTTTTTTGATTTAGTTAATTAATTAGCCATAATAGTTTCCTTTTATATTGGACTGGTACTTTAATTTTATGCAATGTTGTTTGATTGATTTTTGAACTTGAAACTTGAGACAAATGCTGGCGGATTAAGTATTTTGGCAACTGTGCCACAAATCAGATACGCAAAAACTTTCGCTCTCTATGGAAATGGCAGCCATTCAATCCTGCAATTGTGGATACTTGCCTGCAATAGATAGATATACATAGATGGATGCAAAGATTAAGCCCAACAACTAATTAAACTATGAACAATGGCCCAAAAAGTTGGCAAACAAATGCCATTACAGGGGAGTCTGTCTGACTCTTACTGATATTTCCACTGTATGTGTGTGTCTTGGCCCTGTTTTGACACATTTCCGTGTATGTCTGTGGTGTGTGTGGAATGTAGGTTAACCAAGTGAGACATGCAACACGAAATCGAGTTGATTCATAAGCCTAAAACTGTAACCAATCTTGAGACGGTTGGCGATGTGGGGCTGCTCTCCCGTTTCGTAGGCCTCGTATATTTCCGAGATGGCGAGTACATCAACAAATCGGATTAGTTGACAAAAATCCAATTAGTTGTGGGGCCAGTAACAATTTGGTTCAAACCGTTTGATATGTTTTTTTTTTTTTTTTTTTTTTTTTTGGAATGCAACTTTTGATGGATGTGTGTGGCATGCGTAAGAATTTGATCGATAGCCACGATGATGATTTACGAGGCAGAGCTCGCTCTGTACACAGCTACAGGTAAAAGGTACCCATTTAGGGGCACACACTGACTGTCACACAATGACACACGGGGCACATGCAAATTGTCAGACTGCCTGGCGGCGAACCTTTCCGTTCCGTTCCGTTTCGATCCGATCCGACCTCCGGCTCCGTGGCTAAGCTGACAGCAGTAGGAGGATGGCAGCACCTGCACCGGAAAACTGGGAAAAACCCCTGAAAAAACAACCTTCGCCATGGATAAGGTGACATGGATCGTAGCGGATCCGTGTTGGGTTCAGGTTCGGCATACCTGTACGACCTGTATGGGATAATGAACCTCTAAAATCCACGCCTCGCAAATCCTTGCATGCCATGCCATCGCTCGCTTTTGTGGCAATAAAGGGCTAAATAAACAGTCCCCTCTGCTCTGTAGGCCAAAAACAATAAGTCCCACAGGATAACAATGCACATTATCATAATCACCAATAAAATTCTCTAGTCGCAAAATTCTAATCCACTGCCGGGCCTCAGAACTGGCCAGTGCCTGAGTCCAACTAAAGTTCAAGTTTATCTGCGTAATACTTCCTCCCCAGGGAGGGCCTCTGACGAATTCTTGGTATTCCTCACCCGCATTTTTGCTTAGTGTAATTCAATCACAGACCGAACGAGCGACCCAGCAACCACATTCTGGGAGAGAGGGAACGGAGCAGAGCCGAGCCGAGCCGTGCCGCCTGCATAAAATGCGCAATCGGCAACGCAACCGAAATCCCATGGAGCCATTGGCTAATCGCTGTCTAATTATAATTTTGCATTTTTATCGCTGTGTGGGCTTGTTGGGGAG